GCTGGGGTAATCAATTTAATTACTTATTGCAAGCCCTGCTAGCTTTCCCAAGGCCATGGCCATAGATTGCGTAACTGCACTCTCTACGGTGGAAGCTGCTTCTTACGTAACTGAGGTAGAACCACAAAGAAATAAACTGAGAGATGAGTACGGTACACGCGTGAGATGGCTTTTAACTTATAAATCCGACATATTTTGCCTCCTAAAATTTATACACTATTTTTGAATCCCTTTAAGTCCATCAGCCATTCTGCTATAGATTCGCCAGAGATGGCATCTTCTCCAACACGCTTCTGCTTGAATACAGCCGCCCACACCCAGGCACAGATCCATTTAATGCTCGAAACTGTGAGCAGCTTTTGGCTTGAAGTTTAATTTGCACTTACTTTGATTTACGCAAACTTAAAATGACTTCACAATGTGCTGTGCACCACCCAGCACCTCACCCCACCCTACCAACTTTATCCGAAAACTGGTGTATGTGTGGCGTGGGTGCCTCTTTATCTGTTGCAGTGCTATTTACACAGGTTTCCCCCAGGGATGAGACTACCTTCTGGGGCCAGTGGAGCCTTTGTTCGAGGATTTCGCTTTTCGGTTGTGGGTGCTGCAGAGCGGCAGGGTCCAACACCTGGTGGGTAGCATTTGGCTTTGGCTATCTTCACTTTGTCAGTGGGCTTTGAGCCGCAAAATTTGGTGTGATTAGTCGAGTCCTTTCAATTTAATTCCCTATTAACTTGGGCCATATGAATTCTGCTCTCGATTCTCGCACTCTGTCTGTGAGTGTCTCCCCAAATGTCACTCGGTTGGGTCTGCTGACTGCTAAACAAATTGCAGCAGCTGTGGCAACGACTTGAGCTGACCATTTTATTTATTAAAATATTTATTCAAATGCATCCCAGCTGCTGGCTGGGAAACCCTACTACCGACACTCCTACTCTACCAATCTCTTTATATGAAAACAAAGCCAGGTCCAAAATAGAAATAATAAAAGTGAAAAGTTTACGTTGCTGCTGGCTGCATATAAAAATGTCTGACACGCTGCTAAAAAAAAAACAACAAGCAAAATGCAAAAAAAAATGAAAGCTACAAAAAAAAACGTTAACTGATGCGCACGGGAGCATAGGGCAGAAAAACTAACAAACGGCAGACAAATGGCAAGGCTAAGTCCAACTGCCAGGCCCAAACATCCAGTGTAGCACCCACACGCGTACATACCATACATACACATACCCATGCACACACACACACAAACACTCTAACACTCTCACATACATGACTGCCTTGCTGGCCATGGTGGCTATAAAAAGTCACTCAAGTGGTATTAAATGTACCACCAAGTGCAGTCAGCATCGGCACACGAGCACAGGAGACAGGAGACAGGCGACGGACGACGGGCAACCGGAAATAGGATGAGAGCTTCGAGGAGCACCTGGCACAAAAGGTTAAGACCCAAGGCAACCCACACAGGCACTCCCCTTACAAGTGTGTACGAGTGTGTGGCATATTAGAAATAGAGAAATCTTTTTGGCTGGATTCGAAATCGACTTTTTCTGTTTGCCGTGTAATTTTTGATTGAAACTGAGTGGCCCTCAGCCCTCCGCCACTTCACTTTACCTTCTTTCCACTCTGCTGGAATTCAAGAACTTATTTATTTGGAAACTTTTGGCCGAAAGGAGAGTGGAGGAGTAGTGGCGAATCTGGGACTCGTACTCGGACTGTCGAAATCATTAGGCATTCTTTTACACTTAACTGCCGAAAAGGTGACCAGCTGTTGCTTCTAACCCACCACTAACCCATAGCTAAATGCCGAATTATGCCCTGACCCACCCCCACCCCCTACTTTTTTCATGACATTTTCGCATATACACACAAAAAAAAAAAATATAACTAAACGGAAACTGCTGCATTCCCTCCCTAAAAAAAAAAAACAAAATACGAAATAAAAGTAATAAGCGAAAAGGGTTTTTCATTTTGGTCAAAACCAGAACGCAGCTGCGACCGGCAGCAGGGAAATCAACAATGAAAATGTTTTGAGAAATTAAACCAAGACAAAACTATTGCGGTGCACCGAAGCCTGCAATGCCCTTGAAAGGTGGAATGGGAAGGGAAAATAGGGATGGGATCCGTCCTGCGTTCGACATGTCCCAACTGGGTCATCCTCCAGTGGTTACCCATTTTTGATTCCTCAACATCAGTCGAATCGAGGACACAGAACTATAAATAGTAAGTGTAAGTTGGCAAAGCTATTTAACGGTTTCCTTGTGTTCCGAGCTATGGCCATTAGCTGGGAAGAATCAACTTATGTAGGAGAAAAACCACTTAGGCACTTAATAAATAAATGATTCTTATTGTTTAATGCCTTTTAGGACACTAAATGCAGGTTGCTTCTAGACTTGCTGAACAAGTTCTCCATAGCTGCGACACTCTGAGCCTCAGCACGCCAGTCTAGCAATTTATCCCTCCTCCGATTCAGCACTTTTGATGTGACCATTGCTAAATCTCTACAAAAATCCATTTCCCATTCCATTTACGAAATAATATGCAACTATTTTGGCACTGAAAAGTAAGCCAAAAGCAGAAAATGGCTGGCAAATGAAAACAAAAGCGCCGGCCATCCATATGCCCCATGGAAAAACCCCGCCCAGCCTGCCAAGCACTTGAACAAATTTCACTTTTATACAACTTTCATTTAAAGCGTAAACACACACACAGAAAGGGGGAATAGGAACGGGTGGGGGGGCTACATAAAGTTTTACCAGCTCATAAAAAGCTCAGAAACAAGCGAGCAAAATCGAATGCTCATAAAATTGCACTACGGGGTCAGATTCAGCGCAAAGGATACGCCGCCAGTGGCAACTGCACAGACGGAATGGAATGGGCCGGAGAGAGAGAGAGAGAACCCCTAGTTTTGTAGCCAGTTCTTCTGGTCTCTGCCACGTTGAGATTGTGTGGTTCAATGGATTGATTTCCTTTTTAGGTGGCACAAACAAAGCCGGAACGGGAACGGGCCATGGTCAAGTGCTGTCGTGATGCAAGCGCAAAGAGAATAAAAATCGAACGCGCAAGAATGAACAACAAATATCAGTGCTTTTTGACTACCTAACAAACCTATCCTTAAAATCCTTTGCAAAACTTTGCACAGCGATAGTGAAATGATTAAGATTCGTTGATAGTTGCAGAGTTTCACATTCTCACTCACATTTTCCACGCGACTATTGAAACTTTTCCAGTTTTCGGCTGCATACTTTATGGCGTTCGGGGCGGCTCCTTCTCTGGCGTGAAATTCTTTACGGGGCCCTGCCAGTTGGCTGTCATAAAATAGCTGGCAGCAATCGCTTGATGGCAAACGTGTTCCAATTAAGCGAGATCGTACTGAAGCCCCCCTCCCCATCCATCAAAGTGTAGTTAATTTAAATGAAATTTGTAAATTTCTGTTGCAGGCACGTGACACATGCCAATATGGGAAACAAAAATTACAACTCATAAAAATTGAGGAAAAAAAGTCAAAAGGAGGCTACTTGTAGCTATTTCCCAGCTGCCACGCCCATACGAGAATGACAGACAGCCATTAAATTGTGAAAAATTAAAGTAAGGCTAGCTGTAAATTTTGATACCCTCGAAGGTTGCGCATTTAAAAATGGTAGCCACATATATGATATTCAAGATTCCGCAGAGATGTTGAGATGCTGATTAAGAACATGTACCCATGTTCATATATACCCGTGAACACTGGGAGTACTGGAGAGAAGAATTGTCTACAGGAGTCACGGGTGGCACTTTAAAAAACTGTAGCTATGCCTTAAATTCTGCATGCAAAGCACACACAAACATATGTGAGCACACGCACACATGCACACACAAATAGTCGTGCTTAAATGTATCGAGTTCGCGTTTCAATGATGCGTAAAATTGATATTCCTTACCGCAATCATTTGCCGCTAATTGAAAGGCAAAACTGTCGCATTACAAAGATTATTTCCACGTGAGGGGTAGATTGTGTTATCCAACTCGACTCAAAGAAATTACTTCTAGTCAATCAAAGGTTAATTGCACATTGTTGCAAATCAAAGAATTTAATTATGCAAACTGGAGAGGGGATGGATGAACAAGCTGATTCATGGCATCAGCAGGGTGTATGGGTATTCGGGGATTAGTAGTGGTGTGGGTGGATATAGTAAGTAACCCATAAAGTTTCATAGCAGCTCAAACGAGTCCCACACTCCCATACACAAACAGACGCACACAGACGAACGGCAACTCACATGCATTTTAATCACATAAAACTCACTTACGCTGGCAACATTTTGCGTCATTTGTATGAGCAAAGTGTGAATGCGATAGAAGGAGAGCATGGATGTGTCAGATCGGGGTATATCAGCTACGTGTATTGGTTAAAACCTCAAAAGAAATGAAATACTGGACGTGGTGTAGCGACACCTTTCACCTTAGCAAAATAAAAGTTTAAATAAATAATTCGTAAATATTTCGTACGTAAAGAGTATTAACACATCACCAAGTGGTCTTTGGAGGCCGTTCTCCTTTCTCTTTTTCTGGTTTTTTTAGCGCCAGCACATTTCAGTTGGAGTATGTGTAGTACATACATGGCGTATGCGCAACATTTGCCAGCAAACAAATTTATGCGGCAACATATAAATCCTGTAACAGTAGCTGCCACAGTTGCTGCCACAACGCAGTTGCTGGAACACACGCCACACACAGCTGCGAGCGGGTGGCAAATAGTTTATGCGAAAAGGCTCCCAAAAAAGTTTCCAATTTGCTGGCAAAGAACATCTTAATTTAATAAAGTGCCCGGAGCCACCAGGGGATGAGCAGTGTGATGAGCAGACGGCAGCAAATTCGCAAATTGTTGGGCTGCACGCAGATAAATCTCAATTAGGCAATACTTGAATGCAGTAATAAACAGTTGGGTCCGGGTCCCCATTCAAAGAGGATGGACGGCACGGCCAGGACTCGATGTTGAATGAGGAAAATGCGAGGTCTTTTCACTCAAACTCAGACGAGTTTTCGCTTTTTTATTCAAAGGTTTCTCTTTTTCACTCTAATTTAACAGAAAGTGTTTCGATTTGTTTTTTTGTTTTCTACTCTTTGCTTTATAGATAATTGACAAAATTTCTATTAATAGAAATAAAGGCATTAAATTATTTGGCACTCGAAGGAAATAATAATAAATGAATTGTGAAACTTAAGCAAAAAAAATCAAAGAGAGATAATGCAAAGGACGATTGTGGCCATGGCTTATTAGAAGACTTGGACACGATGATTCTCGCGATCGCAGACCAAGATGTTGCCATTCGACATGATGGCCACGCCCTCCAGTCCCTTGAACTCCGAATCGCCGGAGCCCCATGAGCCGAAGGTCTTCAGGAAGCTGCCATCCGGATTGAAGATCTGTATGCGATTGTTGCCCGAATCGGCCACAAATATATAGCCCTGGTCGTCCACGGCCACTCCGCTGCAGAAGAGGTTCGGAACACAAACCAAAGTTAACACTTTGTCAATTAAAAATTGTAATTCGATTTACTCACCGGGGAAACTTGAATTGACCATCGTCAGAGCCCTCGCCGCCCACCGTGGACAGCACCTTGCCGTTCACATCGAAAATCTGTGGATGTAGATGTGGTTGTGGAAGCGGATCCGGATCCGGATGCGATTGGCACAGGCGAAAGAGGTGACAGTAGACAGAGGACAGGGGACCCGGTGAGCAGGCCATACCGAAGACGGAGAAAGAAGGTCAAATAAATTCGAATAAATCTGGATTGCGAGCATATTTTAATTAAAATTGTTCACATGGCCAGACAGCCGTGAAGTTGGTTGCAGGAGGCATGAGGCGTGCGGATGATTGCGAGGGGTATTGGCTTACCTGAATCCTGTGGTTATTCGAATCGGAAACAATCACACGATTCGTGTTCGATACGGCTATATAATGCGGATGCTCAAGTTGTCCTTCGCCACGGCCGCAGGAACCAAATTTGCCAACGAAGGAACCATCGGATTGGAAAACCTGACGAATGCGAATGCGAGTATTCGATAAAGGTTGGCAAATTGAAATGGAAAAAGAATTCACAAGAGGACAGCCAGAGGACTGAACCAAGGGCCAGGCCAGGGACCAGTGACCAGCACCCAAGACCAGAGACCGGACATGAGTGCCAGCAAAAAGTACACAAATATATTGCAGTTGAGCTCATGAAAATTGTGCAGGAGGCGTAGTGTATGGCCCAGAAGAGGCTCTGCACCAGCTCAAGTGTGACAAATTGGGCAAGGCTTCGTTAGCCCCTCGACCTCACCAGAGGAATATAAATATTTGCATGCAAATCGAGTTGGAAGTTGGGACCATGGCTGGCGCCCAGGCTGAAAGCTGTAGATGAGGCCTCACCTGCACTCTGTGGTTTTCCTTATCGCACACGTAAATGAAGCCGAGTGCATCGGTTGTTACTCCCCAAGGATAATTGAATTTGCCATCTGCGGTGCCCTGCGAACCAAATGCTCGCAGAAACCGTCCTTGCGGATCGAGCACTTGTATGCGGTGATTGTATCTGGAAAAGAGTAAAGAAGTGGATTAATGGCCAGCGAACGCATATTCCCAGCCCTTGTTAATTACGGAAAAAAAAAAGGAAAGGAAAGTCGAGAGAGAGATCCCATTATTCGGAAGGTACATTCGGGGGCGGACCAAAGCTATTGCGAGATGATGCGCCATTCAAACTGGTATTGCGAGTGGGGTAGCTTAGGTCTAAGCCGCTTAACGTGCAAAATCAAAGTTGACTCACACAATGAGGCCCGGCCAGCAGGTTTCTGCACCCCGGCACACCCTGACTCCAGCTCCCTGTGTACCCCACTGTGTGCTTAACGAGATTTTGCGTCAAACAATGACAGCGGCAGATGGAGGCTGGAATTGGGCTTGCTATCTAGATTGGGCATATACTCGTATATGAAATGGCTGGAGCAGAGATACCTATAATATGTGCAAGAAGTGAGAGCGGGAGCGGGAGCCGGAGCACTGGCACATGTTTCTCATTAACGCGGCTATTATGCGCTTAGCCGTGCCAATTAGAGGCGGGTCTAAATCCGAGAATGAAGCATGGGCCTTTGTTTCGACTTAATTAAACTGCAGAATGACCAAAAGCAGATGCTCGTTGCTCTCTAGATTATCTTGGAAGCCACTTACCTATCGGCAATGATGTATTGGCCGATTCGATTGACGGCCACGCCGGCCAGGCAATCGAATTCTCCCTCGCCGTTGCCATACTCGCCGAACTCCTTGACGAAGATGCCATTGGAGTCAAAGACCTGGACGCGATGGTTGCTGGAGTCCGCAACGACGATGCTATTATCGGGACCGACGGCCAGGCCGCGCGGCCACGTAAAGGATCCGGGCTCGCTCCCCCGGCCCCCCAACTGGAACAGCTGCTGGCGCTTGCGCAGATACACCTGCTTAGGGATAGTACCTGCCACTCCGGTTATACCGGCTGCTGCCACTGCTGCTGCTACCGTAGGGGACGTAGGGGAGCCTAGCCCGTTTTTTGACCCATCGTCGTCGGAGGAGGCCAGCTCATTGGCCTGTCGTAACGGTAGGCCCAGGCTGAGGCGTCTCGAAACCTCGCTGGCGGTGCTGCGGCCGCTGCCGCTGCTGCCAATGCCGTGCGCATGCGAGGACGATGCCGCCGTCGAGCTGGCGGCATGCGAGTCGCGTGCGCTTCCGGCACTGCTACTGGGCGTGTCCTTGCTACTCTTGTTCCCGTACTTGTTCTTGAGATAGCGCGCCCACGAGCTTAGAGCCTCACCGTCCTTGTTGTCCGTGGAGCTGCTGCCCAGCGCCCCAGCACGAGAGGATCCCGCACTGCGATCGGTGATGGGCGAGTTGTCGCGCGACTTCAAGGCGTGCGATGATCGGCTCCTGGACAGGTCGCTGCTACCGTAGCCACTGTATCTGCAAGGCAACAATGTCATTAGTGATCCACAGGGCGAAGGCATGAGGGTTGAGAAGCTAAGAAAGGTGGAGTTCTATGGCTGATTTGTGCTGTTCTGATGAATGAGGGCGCTCTACGGATCTGGATGGAACTGTGGAACTGCATGTGAATTTTTGTGGTGCTGCTTATGTACAAAGTGAGATATAGAGAGAAGAGGGAATTTGTTGTGCGGGAAATTTTGTGGATTTCCAGTTAATTTCGGTTAATTTGAAAACGCGCAGAATTTTGTTTTTCTTTTCTTACCAATAAAAAAAAAACAAAACGAAAAAATACGAGAAAAAAGAAAGAAAACCAAAAATAAAGTAAATTTAAAATGTTGAATTAGTGTAGAGTGCAACATTAACGAGAACGAAACTTCGGACGTAGTAGCACGCACAGAAACTCAACGAAAAATAAAACTCGTCAAATAAATTAAAAATAAATTAAAATTAAAATCATATTAAACGATTCCTGGGGACAGCACACGCACAATGAAAGCGCTCAGCGCACGACATATTAGGAATATGTATATAGAGAGAGAGTGAGATATATGTACGTATATACATCTGATATCTGAGATTTTCACCTATTTACAAATTTTTTGGGATTTCTGAAATTTCTGGCATAGCTTTTTTTCCATTTTTTTTTTTTTTTTTTGTTTGCTGTTATCTTTTTTATTTTATTATTTTGTTGGTGTGCGCACCTTGAAGCCAAGTAAGCGGATGGCGAGACCGTGGTGGGGGATACCGGCTCATCCAGATCATCGTCCTCGTTGCCCAACTGATGCGAGGAGCGACTGCGCGCCAGGCGGGTGCGGCGCTCCTTCATGGCCAGGTAACGGGAGCGGCCGGTCCCGTAGCGACTGTCCGAGTCGTCGCCCGTTCCGTTGGCGTCCTCGTCAAAGGAGGCGGTGGGCGTGGATAGCGAGGGTTGCGTTACAATGGCGCTGCTCTTGCTCTTGTTTAGAAAGCGGCTTGTGTAGCTGCAAAAATGTTGATTCGGTACGGTTTGGTTTTTGGTTTGGTTTGGTTCGGTTTTGGTTGGGGTTGGGTTTGGTTTTGGATTTTATTTTGCATTTTGTATTTGTGTTTTATGTTTTGTTTTTGCTTTTGTTTCTTTTTTTTACTTTGCTGTGGCTGTATGTATTTTTCTAATTTTCTGTTTGTCTTTGCCTTGTGTTTCCTGTACCTGGTGTTCCTCTAATCCCCATCCCATCCCAACCCCATTCCCGTGCCCTGTGGAAAATCCGCGACCGCTTAATTAACTAACTTTTAACTAGCTTAAGTCCTTCACGGTGTGTCTATGTGTGTGTCTGTGTCTCATTTATTAGTCAACGAAATTCAATTAAAACACACAGAGTGGACGAAAAAAAAGAAGCAAAAAGGTTTCGGCAGAAAAGTTTCTAATTAAATTCACATTTCACATTATCGAAAGTTCAACAAAGTAGTTGCGAAAAGTTTAGTTAAGTACAAGAAATTATGGTGCCAATTGGCCTTCCTCTGCGAGTTCGTCGTGCATACGTGTCTGTGTGTGTGTCAGTGTATTGGCATATGGCTGGGTGGGTTAAGAGGTACAAAAACAGGAGGCAAGGCAACAACTACAACAGCTACAACAACTACACTTACTACACGGAATAAACACACAAATTGAACGCTTAAATGCTAAAGTGAGTAAAATATTCAGCAACAGAAACAACGATATTGAAAAAATGTTAATTGAGCAGCAGAGTAGGCAGGAGGATGAAAGGGAGGAGGAGGTGGGTAGTTTGTGGTCGCTTCTCGCTTTCCTTATTCCACTGCAGCAGGTTGCACAATATGTTTGCGCTGCTTAATTGGCAAAGAGAAAAAGGCAAAGCTTAAACAAGCGGAAGTGTTATACTTACAGTCGAAGGCATCGACCATTAGCTTCGCACCAAGCAGAAGCAGCGCTCCCTCTGGAACTATTCTGAACAGAAACTCTAACAAAGTTACTGAGCAAACAGACAAAGAAAAGGGGCGAATCAACTGCCATAGTATCATGGGACTTTGTGTTTCCCTCAGCTAACGGACAAATGGTAAAAACTCATCTTAAGTTTCTCATTAAAACTCAAATATATGCAGGCGTAAATGCCCGTCCATCTCGGCTGGTGCAGCCCGATCATAATCAAAGCGCAGTCCGTTCATCCACACTTTCGAAATATCCATACAAATAGCATAAGTAAATACGAGTGGTGTGCGAAGTGAATGAGAAATTGAGGAAGGAACGAACACAGACGAATGGATGCCAGCAAACAGACTGATAGCTGATACCAATTAGTATTGTTCTGCAGAGGTGAGAGTAGGTAAGAATGGGGTAGGGGGGAGGTGGGTTTGAGAGTTGGCAGCGCCCGTTGTAATTACATTACGCAAGATTTGTTGCAGGCTAGCAAAAGGGGTACCGTGCCGAAAGGATTCAATATTTGTTGTCGTGCAAAAATAAAATTAAAGAAGTTTGTGTCGCCCAAGCGCAAAGGCATTCAGGCCTTGAGTGGGCCACATTGATCCATTTGAAAAGGGTATTGACAGACAGACAGACAGACAGACCAACAGACGGACAAAGGGAGACAGACAAAACGGCAAAGTAAAGTTAATTTCCAGCCCTTTGAGTGGCTCTTTGAAAGCAACATCATCATCATGTTCCCATAGAAGGAAGAGACAGACTTCAATAGCAGCTCAGCTCAAAGTACTCAACAATATGCCATCAAAAGGAAGCTAGTACAGCTTTTTTTTTTGTTTGCTTTCGTTGTAACATTTAAATATTTAATCAATAATCTTATCGCTAATGGGTTAGGGTATCGATTGATTTGGTCGGTCCTTAGTCAGGTTAGTCGATTAGTCGGGAGCCGTGGCCAAACGCTATCGTTAATGTTAACAAATAATTGAACTATGAATTGAATAGAATTTCACATATGCACATATGTATATGTCTGTATATCTGGCTAGACATCGGTAAGACGCTTTCGGTAGCGCGCCCGGTTGGGTCTGCTTATGTACGGTATGCTAAAGGGCAGTGCACTGCAAAGATCAACACAGAGAGAGAGAGAGAACACAAAGAGAGAGTGATAGAAATGTGTAGAGTGTGTGTGTATGTTTACCTATCTGGGGTTGTGTGCATGTGTATGTCTTTGGTTTCTTTCGTTTGCTTATGTGAAGGTTATGAACTTGACAATTAGACGCCACACAAGGCGTATGAGCAACAAAATGGCCAATACCAGGTTAGCGCCAGCACGGAGCAATTGTACAAAGCTGCAGCGGCGGGAGCAGAGAGAGAGTCGAAGAAAGCACACATTAAATGGCATTTTAATATGGGGGAAACTCGGGGTTTTTGGATAACAAAAACTGTTGCCTACTTATCTGGGCAATGTATCGTAAACCAAACCAACATGAAATCCATTATGCATTTCAATTAAACCAATCTGCAACTCTTTTTACATTTATATATATAACTTATTAAAATTTAAATTATAAAAATTAATTGCAGGCAGAGTTTTGTTTACGTATAATTCAATTAGTGTTGACCCACAAAAAAAGATGAAAAACAAATTACCAAATGAACATCAACAGCAATACTTGACACACAATCTATGCATGTATCTATGTATATTCCGTGCTCATCAGATACATACGTATCTGTGTGTGGTGCGTTTATCTTTGGATCAGTAGCAAATAAGCGTCCAGATTCGCATGTTTGTGTGTGTGTGTGTGTATTGTGTTCGTGTCCTCGATTCATTAGCCATGCAAATTAGTCCGGTTATAGAAACTACAAAATGGCGGAACTATGGCCCCCAGGAAGGAAATACCTGCTGCCAGTGCCGCTGCTGCTGCCATAACGGTCTTCGCTCTCTCCCGAATGATGTGGCGCGGGCACGGTGCGTGTGCGAGCGGTGCTGCTGCTACCGCTGCCATAGCCGCTGCTCGAGGGCGTAGCATAACTGCTACGCGATGCCGCCGTTAGTGCGCTGTCGTCGCGAGAGGCCCGTCTGGCCTCCAGGCGATCGCGGTAAGAGCTGCCACTGGTGGAGCTGCCGGTGGCCGCCGTCGTCGAGCTGGAGGCGCTGCTGGGCGTGGACTTGCTGGCACTGTTGCTGCTGCTGGTCGCACCCGCCTTGGTCTTCGTCTCCGGCTCCGACTCTGACTCGGACTCCGAACTGGTCTCCTCCTCGCTGCTCGAGCTGGATTCAGCCTTCTTCTTTTCAGCCGTTCCATTAGAGGCACTCGGGGTGCTGTGCTGCGGCAGGAAGCGGCTAACGAAAGGCTTCTTCTCCGGCACTGCGGTGGTGGCTACCGAATCCCGGGCACTCGAATGACGCGCCGTGCTGGGCGCCTTCTGCTGACTGCTGCTGGGAGCAGCCGATGCTGCCGCTGCCGATGCTGCTGCTGCTGCTGTGGCTGCTGCCCCAGAGCTGGCAGAGCTTTCGGTGGAGGCACTGCTGTCACTGCTGCCCGATCGCTGGGTCTTCTTCACTGCCGCAACTTGGGCCGAGACGGGCGGCTTCGACTGTTGGGTGGTAGGAGGAGTGGGAGTTGCATCAGAGTCTGTGGCGCTGGCTGTCTGTTAGTCGAAAGGGTCAAGCAACGAACGCAATGCAGATGCAGAAATAGAGAGAGAGAGAAACATGACGTTGAGGCAGATGATGAAAATGAAGATGATTGGTATGTGCAAGTGACAGCATGCGAAAAGGGATTGTGAGGCGGGTGTAGGAAAGATGGCAAGCAAACTGTACAACTGTGATGGGATTCCAGTATCAGGGTAACATTCGATATGACTTTTCCCTCAATCAACATCTAACAATGTCTCCCATAACTCCGTCGCTCACTCGTCATTCGATATTTTGTCATTTCTGTTTGATGTTTTCCTAATTGATGGAACAACCTTTTCCTATTTCCTTCGGTAAATGCCAAAAACCAGACAAATATGCAGCTACTGTGCATATGTCCCTTTATCGCTCTCACACTCACACTCGCACGTATCCATATTCTCTCACACTCACACACACACACACATATGCATATGCATATGGATACAATAGAGAGCTGGAAACATTGTTAAACTGACGGAAGCAGCCGCATCGCTGACAGTCGAATGATTGTGAAATATTCGCCATTGAACCCCTACTCAGGGTTGGCATTTTGTGGGCGTTTCGGGCGGGGACAGCGCAACAATGTGTGAATGAATGGGTAAAATGAATAATCGTAGAGCAGAGGATGCGGGTGGCAAGTGGATGGGAAAAAAAAATAGCAGAAAAATATAGAGATATATGTACAACAGAAATATTTACAGCGGACATCAGAAATTGCAAAACAACGACATGGCAACGCAAAAAAAAATGAATGAAACAAAGAATAAATATTCAGAATAATGAGAGAGAGACACTGGGGGCAAAGCGAAAGAGAGAGTGAGTGAGAGAGCGTGAAAAGGGAAGAGAGGAAAAAATGTCTCTTTTGGTTGATTTGGGTCTGTGGTTTATTCATTTCGACAGCAATGACCAAATATATTTAGTAAGATTTAAGCAAATTAACATCACTACCACATCGCTTGTCCACTTGCAAAAAGAAAAGAAAAAAAAACAGAGAAAGAGAGAGTGAGAGTGAGAGAGATAGAGAGGAGTGCGAGAGAAACAGAATTGTGGAAAAATATTTGTGACATTCAAAAAGAAAATTTTGTATATTCATTTAGTTATTTTATTTGTTGTAACCTTTGCCAGTCTCTAACTAACGATAAGGTAAAAGATGTTAATCTACTAAAATAAAAAAATATATATATTGTTCTATATACGAGTATACATATACGATACATACATACATATGTATATGCTCACACATACATGTTGTATTATGATGAATGTCTACAATATTGTACAATTGACGATTTCTGATGTCCGGGGTTTTGGGCCGAAACATTCTGCCAGAGAGCATCTCAGTTCCATTGAATTTTCAATTGGGATTTTCAAGCAAAAGGTTCTGACCCAAAACAGCATTAAATGAAAGGCGCTCACAAGACAATAAAATGGGTGAAAATGGTGAAACAAAAACAACCAAAAATGTGAAAACAATGATATAATAAATATAAATAAATAAAGGCCACAACTTAAATTACACTTAAACAAAAAAAAAAAAATAAAGGGAAAAGAACAGAAAATAAAACCAAACAATACACAAGAAAAGAATAGGAAGGAAGGAAATTTTCCAGGAAAATGTTTTGTTAAAGGAAGTGGTAAGATTAACAGTAAGAGTAACGGTAACAGTTAACGGTTAACGGTTAACAGCAAGTTTAAGTTTGCTCTCTCTTTCGAACGATTCGACAAACACTTACGGAGCGGAGGGGAAGTGTGAACGATGGAGCACAAATAAAGAACGAAGCACACATGGCGTATACGCAATTAATTCTTTTTAATTATCTTTTTGTTTTCATTAGGGGGATGTGCAAACAGGGAAAATACTGGGCCGGAAAACAGTGACAGCGAGATTTTCTACACATTCTCATGCTTCTGCTTCTGCTTCATCATCCTCATCTCCCTCCTCGTCATCGGTCACTTCTATCTCCTCTTCTGTGTACTCATCGTCGCCTTCTTCTTCTTCACTCTTCTCGGATGTTAAATCCTCGTCTTCTTTCTCTGTCTGAACTTCGTTGGGGTGACTGATGATCACCGCAGGACTTTCGTGGACTTTGTTGGGCAGCTCTCCCTCTGGCGGTAGGACATTGATCACTGGTACATCCTGGGGCTCTCCCTCATGCACAGACTCCTCCTGCAACAGATCATCCGCTTCGTCGCTGCTCTCGGTGACTGTTACTTCTTCATATTCCGAAGAGTCTTCGGACTCGTCTTCTGCTTCCTTCACTACTGCCTGTGGCTGCTGCTGCTCCTCCTCCCCTTCTACCACCCCTTCCTCAATCTCCTCATCTTCCTCGCTGTCACTGTCACTGGCCACGCCTTCTTCTTCTGTATTTGCCTCATTCACACTTACCTCGGCTCGCGTTGCTGCTGTCGCTGTACGCACTGGAGATGCCGCCTGATTGGAGCCGCTGCCATCGCTGTCCTCGCCCCCGCGTGGCCCCTTGAGGCTTGCCACCCGCTCGCTGTTAGGTCGCTGATCCTGGCCAGCCTCACTGGTCGCGGCCGATGTAGCTGCTCCAGAGGAAGTCGCACTCTTGCGCTTCTGACGCGCCAGCTCGTCCTCGTCAACTGTAGCCGCTGGCTGCTGGCTCTTCTGTTGTTGGCGCTGCATGGCCGCCTTCTGGGTCTGTATGGCTGCCTGAACGGCGGCCTGGGCCGCGGAGGCTGCATCCGACTTCTTGTCCGACTTCTTCTCCTTGCCAATGTCGGCCAGGCGCTGAACGACACGGGAGCAGTCGCTGAGGCGAATAATACCACTCAGCTGGCCGCGCGACACATCCTCGCTGTCGAGGACACGGTCCTTTCGCTCCTTCAGCTCCTGCTGACGCTGCTGCTGCTGTTGCTCGGTGTCCGAGTCGTCATTCTGGTGCGAGCGCACAAAGCGCGAACGGAAGCGCGAGGACTTGCCAGTCCGTCCGGAAGTGGGCTCGTTCTCGTAATCGTTCTCGTAGTCATAGTCCGAGCGACCGTAGCGGCTGCTCTCGCCATAGCGATCGCTGTTGGTGGCACTGCGCTGGGGACGCTCTCCGAACTTCCGGCCGCCGAGGACGGGCTCGTCGTTGTAGCCACCACGCTCCTCCTGCTGCCGGAACTGGGTGGCCAGGCGGTGGTCGCTCTTGGAGCGCATCAGTCCGGGCTGGAGGCCGCTGGGCGGGGCCAGGTGAGAGCTGCTCACCGAGCCGCCCGGCGTCGAGTGTGGCGCGATGTTGAGGTCGCCAAAGGTGGCCAGGTTCATCACCAGTTGGTTGGGATCGATGGAGACGAGGAACCGTACGCGGCGGCTGTAATCGTTGTTCTCGTACTCGAAGTGCCGCAGGAATTCGACGGTCTTCAGGAAGATCTCCTTGGTGTCCATCAGCTCGCAGTCGTCCCATTCGACGGTTTCGTTCATGTACTTGTCGACAATGTCGCAGTTGCTGCTGATGTTGGTGATCTCCAGGTCGAGATTCTCCTTGAGCGTTGTGAGGTTGCGCAGCTCCACGGCCAGGTAACGATCGATCTCGCCCTTCAGCTGGTCGGAGCGATCCTTGATAGCCTTTGTGATACGACGATAGATCTCGTCGATCTCCTCCGTCACACTGATGGCGTTCGTCTGCAGGCTCAGCGTATTCTTCTCGATGATGGCTAGGGAGTCCTGCAGTCGATGCAAACTGCGGCGGATCTGGAGAGGTTATGAAATGAGTAAGTCATAGCCAAATGAAAGGATCCGTTCGGGACTCACCTGTGAGTTGAAACGCGTTATCTCACGCCGGAGTATGTCCATGTGGGCGCTCTTGCAGTCCTCGCAAATCTTCTTCTCGCAGTGCGCACAATGGGACAGATAGGCCTTCTCCGAGCAGACGCCACAACGTTCCATGATTTGACCTATGAGTGGAAAAACACACACACACAATTATTAAACAGCTCTTTCGTCTGCCTATCTGTCTTCCGTTTCTATCATTTCTGCCAAAAGTACGCCCCCAAATGGGCCCCCAAATGGGACCCCAAATGACTTCCTGCCTGACTCCTTTGAGTTGAACAATAAAATGCCAGCAATGCCTGCCATGCCAGCAGCAGCAGTAGCAGCTCATCAATTTGCACTCTTGGCAACAAAGTCTTGCCACATTCCGGGTCTACCATGCAGTAGGGTAGGGGGACAAAGCAGCAGCAGGAAGAAGCAGACTCCGGCCTGGATGTCTGTTGCATTCACTAATGTGATTTCAAGAGCAAGAAATCAACTGCACCTAAGCGCCTGCTATGCATGTGTGTGTGTACATTTATACACTGCTAAAGATGCTGAGTATTTATTTTCTAAGCATCTTTCAGAAAAATAGGAATTTATAGTTTCGAATTTTTATACTAAAATACTCTCATACTGCGCGTAAGGGTATTTCAAGTTTCGGTGCTCGTATCACAGCTCTCTTCTTTTTATCTCTGGGAAGCGTGCGTCTGTGTGCCACAGACAGTTCTGGCTCGTTGTCGATGTCCCGACTGTTGCAATGCAAATAACGAGCCGCCTCAGTTGCCCCAGTGTGGCAACAATGCAAACATTGCTAAGATGTCGCAACGACTGCACTCTCAGCTCTGCAGAGTAAACTTTTCTGCATCAATTGCTGGCATTGGCAATGCCTGATGAACACTCCTCACCTCACTCCGTCCTGACAATAACTTGCCACAGAGGGGGTAGACAGAGGGGCATACAGAATGCAAGAATTCTGTCTGCCAATAGTTGGCTTCTGTATTTTCCTGTGTAATCATATGGAAAAGTGAATTTACAAATTCCACATGAAAGTGGCAGTCGTTGTTCGTTGTCCCTGCCATATCCATAACACGAAACGAGGAGCTCTAAAAGTCAAAGGGATTCATTCATTCTCTTGTTTCACACATTTGCATACGCAAAAAGCAAATAAGAAAAGCCAAAAAAAATACAAATAAAACCAAATGTTTGTCTTTGTCTGCCTTATTAACTCTCGGCTCAGGCCCCATGCCACCATCCCCATGCCTTATACTCGACTTGATGCTGATTGCAGTTGAGAAGTTGCAATCCATTTGCATATTTCACCGAATTCGAGAACTATCAACCTTGCCACTTGGAATATATATGTATTCTGATAGATACGCACAGTCATGCTGACATCAACGATCCGCCATTTGTGACCGGGGCAAATGCAAATTGCTCAAACAAAATCAATTTGGCTTTGCTTAGTTTTAATTGCTGTCAGATGGCCGGGGAAAGTGTCTGACTTTTTAATTGGAAACCCAAACATTATGGCGAATGGCAATTTTTTTTGTTTCATACTCGTACATTCGGCAGGGCTGGCATTTCCCCATTTATTGTTTTCCATTTCTTTTGTTTCTTCCTTTAGTGGAATTTAATTAAAGTTACAACAACGATTACATGGCAGCATTTTTTATTAATAACATTCCTTGTTTTCCTTTGCTGCTCGGATTTCTGATTTTTGATTTCTAATTACTGATTGGCGATTTTCTGCACTCAAAGGATTCAGCTTTATTGCACAAATATTTTCACTCAAATCGATTGAAGCAAGAGGGGAAAATTGCAGTTTGGAATTTGACCTTATGTACGTATAATAAATCAGGCGAGAGACCCTTCAAAGGATTCCCCTCAGCCTCTTTTCAGAAACTAGAAGCTGTAGTAAAATGCAATTTTAATTGCTTGCATTCCTTACCTGATGTCGGATCGGGCAGCTCGCCGGTGATTTCGATGTGCAGCTCCAGGAAACGCTGTAGCGTCACATTCGTTGGAAAGGCCTGTACGCCATTGTAGGGTATGCGGTGTTCGGCACGGCATTCTGGGCATTTTACCTGTACATTGGAGAATATTGTTTGGATTATAATTGCTTATTCGTTCGTAGGAAATTAATTGCATCAATTCAAAGCTTCAATAAATTGTCAGAAATCAGATTTTCTGATTGTTTCTTTGTTTAGGTTTATAATCCGTTGTGCTCTTCTAAGGCTATCAAATTAGCTGTACCAACTCCTTGACTCTTTCCCGGTATTCCGACAACATAAACTTTGTATAGATGTACGCAACTTTAAAAACCTTTCACATTGCTCGTGATTCATGTGAAGGCATCTTGAGTGCGTCCTTTCCAGGGGTTTCTTCATCTCCTGTCAGCCTTCAACCACAAAAATCAATCTCTCTTTGCGGCTTTTTCGATTCACATGACAGTTATTGCAGCTCGTTGGCTCTCTCTCCCCTCACCTACCTATCTCTCTCTATGTACGAGTTAGCATATGTAGTTGGTCTCTATGTATGTATATTTACCCGAGTAGGGCCAACACAATGAAAATGCTTACCAATTATTTGCGTGGCGCTGGCTGAGAGCCAAAAACAGAATTTATAAATACACACAGACAGAGACGTTTGAATCTGCGGAGACTATAAGTAGCCCAGTACACGGATATCTGTATGTACCAACATGTATACATACTTACATACATATGTACATATAATTTCGCTTCTTTCTGTATAATTTTTCAACAAGATATCTACGCAAATGCGCCTCAGGCAACGCGATAAATATTCAAAAACATTTTTCGGGGGCGTCGTGTTGGGCGCTTCTCTTTTTTTGTTTTCATTCCCATTTCATATGATTTTTCTCATGAGATTTTGTAGTTAAGCGGCCACACAGCGATGTGTGACGTCGGCGAGGCATTAACCAAAATTGCCACAGATACAGACAAAAAAATACTGATTTGAATGATGATTAATGATGATGACAATATCCTTACCTGACGTCGCACATAGTCCACCAGTCCCTCCATGCAGGGCTCCATGCAAAAGGAGTGCTGACATGGCAGCAGCTTCGGTATGCGATACCTGTCCAGGCATACGCAGCACGTCAACAGCTGCTCAAATTGCTCCATGGCTTACTGTGTCCCCAAACCAAAGGAAGATGCACACATAGAAAGACAAAGGAGGAGAGACAATCATTAGACCTGATTCGATTAGACCACAAAGATGCTGTCAATTTGATATTCATATCATTATAAATTCACGTGCTCTCGCTCCCTGTTTAAGCTCATCATAAGACAATAGACAGACCGAAAGAGAGTCAGTCAGCCAGTCAGTGAGACCTTCTGTCAGTCGGTAAGCTCCCTCCCAACAGCAATACAGGCAAAAAAAAATACGATTGGCAGGAAATTCGTTCATTTGAATGAACATAGCCGTGGCAGCCCCTAAAAGTCATACAATAAATTGACCATTTCGTTGCCGTAAGTCGCGGGCTGACAACGGAGCTCGCTCGTCCCCTCGCTGCCGTCGGGTTTCATTTGGCTCTGCCAAAATACACTAAGCCACAAATCTGCTTATGGCTGCTTCATTAAAAGCGGCTCCGACCAGTTTATTTACAAGATATTGCTGATGTTTCGGGTTGGTTGGGACCGACTCTCTGCCACCATTTCATGCCACCCGAATTTCATTGGCGAAAATCAACAGAAAAGCGAGCATTGCCATGGAAACGGAATTCCATTTCTGTTCGTGTCTCTCATTTCCCTGCAGCTTTAATAGTTGCAGCTAACGAATGCAGACTCTAAATTCAGCTTTCCCACAAATAATGAGCAATGCAAAACACCCATTAAAATTTGTATACAGAGATATTAAGATACTTCGCTGTCAATGGGCTTTTGCTACGTAATCGTCGGCTGATGCATTTACTTTGAATTTTATTTAAAATGCCGTAGGTTCTTCACAAACAATGCGAAAATCCTCTAATTCTTGATCCCTAATTCCATGGAAAATCATGTATCAAAAATGTATTAAATGCATTGATTGAACCATTTAAGCGGATATAAAGATTTTAAAACTGTTTACATTCAAGATTAATCTAGAATCAACATAGCCAATTTTCCTTTTGTAAGCCCTTAAATGCGGACATTTTTGTGGACAATTTCTCTTCAATAAATGATTTGCACTCGTATGATTTTTCCTCTTCTTAAGCTGCAATTCCCAATGCGCTCGAGTGCGTTCAAGCCGTGTTAACTGGTCTAACTCCTCTTCATATTAAAAAGGGAATATTCGTCTTGCCTCCGTTGATATTTTAATAATAAAAATGACACACATTTCCTATGAGAGGCAGGCAGCGTACGGCAGCGAAATTCATCTCATACTTCTTATATATAATGTATAAATATACATGCGATTTCGCGCTGACTGCCGGGGCGATATGCATCGCGTATACGCCGCGCCGCTGTTGTCGTGCCCAAACCAGTGCGCACTTCCTGCTCGTAAATATGGTACGATATGTATGGTATGTGACCAGATACGGGTATTATTATGGAAGTATCTCCTTCTCCATATTCGTGTGCATGTCCATGGCATCCACCGCTAATTGTCGTGCGCCTGCTGGCCATTATTGTTGTATATTTAAAGCATCAATTTAATGCGGCCAAAAGTTCACAATGTATGTGACACGCCTCCGCCCCGAAAATAACTCGTATGCATACATACATACATACATATTTGCTTGCATATGGACGACACACGGACATATGCGAAAGCTGTGCAATTAACTGGAAAATACGCTTAAAATCAAATTGAATAGAAATTTTGTCGCTCGCTCAAATTGTGCGTACACCAGAGCTGGGCCTTGAATAGAGAGTGGACTGTTGGGGGCTGAGGGGGATGTGTGGCGAAACTAATTTTGCAATTGCATTTGTGAATGGCCCCGGAAAGGATTAAAGTGAATAAAGCAGAGCTGTGCGCTCCAGCATAATAGAAACCAGCTGGAAACTCTTCTCCCTCTGCTAAATATTTAGCGGGATCCCACAGCTATGAAGGGAATCCAGAAAAGTGGAATAAGAGGAGGTCATATCGCTATTGAAAATCAAAAAGGACTCCATGGACTCTTATGATGCTCGTGTGTGTGCCCAAGCGTAGTCCATATGAGTGGGTACAATATCTGATAAAATTCCACGCAAACTATCCATGCTCTTAATACGCATCAAATTAAGCGGAAAGATGAGGGCGGATCTCAATGAATGAGTTGCTCTTCAAAACGAATAGTTTTAATCACTGTTACGGTAATCGGTCAGTTTTTCCTCTGTTTTCATTGCGAGATTGATGGCGACAGTTGTTCACACAAGAGAAAACGGCAATAGATTCATTAACCTTGAGTGGGTTAAAATTAAGTCGAGTTGTGTGAGCAGTGTGTGTGTGCGCACGGTCAGCGGGAAATGGAAAAGCGATAAACGGTAGACAGGAAACGGAAATGCAGAAAACACTTGACCCTCAACAAATTGGCATTACTCACAATGTGCTGGCAAAAACAACACACAAGAAAAAACTCAAACTGACACAGACACAGAAATGGGTCAAACTCTTTGGCGACGAGTGACAGGCAGCGGACACAGAGCCATCATCATTATCATCATCAACAGCAACAGCAGAAGCACGCAAAAAACATTGAACATTGAAATCAACACAAATAAATTGAAATGAATTCGATGAAATTTGGGTCACACTTAACCGCAGCGAAACAGCCAAATCGCCTAAAAATCCAGCCAAAAGAGAGAGTGAAAGGGGGAGAGAGAGCAGGAAAACTCACCAATAGAAAATGGAAAAAATGTGGGGCAAGCGTTTGCTGCTGATGCTGTCAAAGCGGCACTCGAAGGCAATCATAAAATGCAATTGGTATTCGGCAATGTGCGAATCCTTAAAAACTCAGTCGCTTAAAAATCGTTGCGGGCCCTCGTTTCTCGTTCCGGGGCACTTTCATTAAATTAGTGTGCAACTTCCGACTAAATTATATTTGCTTTACTGTTCAATAGATCTATATATACATAGGTATACAATTTGAATGTAAGTTTTCATTTATTTTTTTGATTTCGTTAAAATTTTCTTGGGCAACGCGCCTCGTAGAATTCGATTGGAAATTTAAAAAGCGACTGAAGGCAAGTGAAAATTGCCAAGCACATGAGCCAAGCAAAACAAGAGCAGTCTATAATATTTTAAATATATACAAATCGTCTCTCACTCGCTCTCTCTCTCTCTCTCTCTCCCTATCTGTGTGTTTCTCGCTGTGTATCTGCAGACAACTATGTATCTCGATATGCGAGAGAGAGAGAAGCAAAACAAAATGCGCGATCGTCAGAGAAACGCAAAAATATATATATAAATATATACTTGGCAGCAGTCTCCGCATGTCTTCGTGTGCGTATGTATCTACATACATATATGTAGCTCTAGCTGCAGCCCATTAATGAGATACCAAAGATACAAGCACTTTACATGTAAGAGTGCCTCCTCTGTTCTTGCGGCTTGGAGATGAAGTTCTCTCGAAGAAAGCATTTCTAATTGCTCAGAACTTATTTGCTTATCTGTCGTACACAAATGTATCCAACAAATCTATGTACACACCGCTAGTTGACGTCATCAAATGTATTATTGTGTATTAATTTGGCCACACGCCGGCATTTTCCATTTATCCCATGGCTGCAGAACGGGCTATTTCTGTGTGTGCCTCTGTATCTCGCTGTAACAGGCCCTAAAAATAAACTTCATTGAAAATTGGAGCGAGCATTGGTCGGAGAGGAGCAGCAGCATTCTCCTCTCCACATTCCACTTGTGCCACATACTAATCTCGTGTTGGCTAATTGAAAAGTTTTCACTTGCACCGGCACTTGCCCAGTACTCCATTTTGTGTGAAGGAAAAACCTTCTTTGGGGCACAAATTTTGCTCCTCAAGGTCGAAACATTGTCACGACTCCCGCTCTCAGTGCACAGTCTCCCTTTTCGGAGTGGAAATGTGTTGGCTAAAAATAGAAGCCCGCTAGCCCGGTATTCACTGACTGCTGACTGAAGTGGGGATTCCAAAGATAGAAATGCAAAATATTTTCATGCTATAAATAAGCGGAGCAGACAGAGCACAAATGCAATCAAAAGAGAAGGAATCAATTCAAATCTAAACGCCAATGAGAACTTATCTCAGCAAGGTCTAAATGGATCGATAATCATAAAAAATTACTTACAATTGTTTGCTCTTTTTCTGCTTTTCTTCTTCTTCGAAAGGGGTTCCGGCTTCCGGCTAAAGGTATCCGAGGCGCCCTTGGGCGGGGCCCTGCTGTTTTGGCTGTTAGCTCTGCTGCCTGCCAAAAAAAGAGAGAAAGCAACAGAGTGAGAGTGAAAATTGGAATCGAATTAAAGCGATTGACAGTGCCAAATTTGATGATTAATCGACTGAGCTCTTGGCCGCTGCTTAACAGGAAACGAAACAGCAACGAGAGGCTCTTTCTGAATGATCAGCTCCACTTCGACAACCCCTTAGTAAATTTAATTCAATACGGAATGCGAGAGAAGCTTACCTGCCCCATTGATACTATGGGAATAAGCCGCATGATGGCAACTTAATTACATTCCTACAAAGGCTGCACAGTCAAAGCGAAGCGATGATAAATGCTGCCACAGCAGGGAGCTGTCAGCGAGGTTTGGAGCATAATGAAGTTGTGAATGTGCTCAAAGCATTGTGCACTCTGACAGATAAGAGCCTTGAATGCACCTTAAACATGTCCAGGTTAATGAAGAAGCGCCCAATGAGCAAATATGGACGCCCAATGCCCATGCCGCCCAATGCCCATATGGCAGGTGTCACGGCGCCAGAGATAAGTTTAATTAACCCCACAAACAAAGGTGTCTTTGTGTTCAGTTAAAGGCACAGACGTTATTAACAGGCTATAATTCATTGACGAATTCCCCAGCAGTAATTAAATGCCATTTAGCATTTAGTTTCTCAAGTCAAGTTATGTTTTAGTTCTTAGCAGTTGCTCAAGAAATTTAAACGAGTTTACTTTTAGAATTGAATCCATAAGTTGAGCCGGATGCTGGAACCAGCGGCCTTGAACTTCCTCAGCGCCAAAGATAAAGAGAGAGTGGAATGAAAGACGAAAGTGAATGGTCACACTGAAGAACAATAAAAAGCAAAACGTTGCCGGCTTTTCGGCTGAGCGGAAAAATACATTGAAAAATGCCATTTCATCTTTTCCATTTGTGTGTGGCCTCTCGAAATGAAAAATGAAATGCAATGGCAGATTGCAGCACGTATTTTCTGGTGTAAAAATATACTGAAATAAGCGACAACAAAAATAAAAGGTGAAAATGAAGCCACAACCAAATGAGAAAAGGGAAAAACAAAGAGAATGTTGTTGGAAAAACCGAAAAAAAAACAAAACAAAAGAAAACAAGACAATCAATGATAAGAGATAGAAAGAAAAATAGAGAGAGAGAGAGATATAGGGAGAGCAAAAGACAAAAACAAAACAGCAAAAGGCTAGCGCAAAATAGAATCAGAAAAGCTCTGAAAATGTCTCTGATTGAATCGAACTATAAATAAGGCAACAACGCGGCGTATGAGCAATGTGGTGCCCCTTCCTTTGTGTATGTGTGTTTGCTCGAATCTGTGTGGGCAAATTATTGCCATGCTTTTTGATGAGCACACTACACCACACACACACACACTCACACACACACACAGGGAGATCCTCATATAGCCATATATATAGATATTGTGTCGAACTTAATAAATTTCAACGGCCACAATAGATATAAATGGCGAAGAACGGTGAACGGTCGTGAAGAAATATGAAAATAATTCTGACAGCTTTTCACGAATGTGGGCGAATAGTCGAAGTGTCAACCAGGTGACATTTTCACGGCTGTCGTTCGTTCTCTTTCATTCACACTCTCTTCTCTCTGTTTCATTTTCACTCTTTTTGCACTCGTTTTTTACATAATCAGCGCTCATTGAATGCGCTGAGCTCATCTCCATTTGAATGCTTCTCCAAAATTGGTTTGGCCTCCTGGCATCAGCCTCGTTCACTCACTTGGGTTTCGCACTGCAATCTGAGGATGTTTCTCGTAAGTTTTGCAAATTTATTCGCATGCCTTGGCGGCACTCTCCTTCTGGTGTGGAGAAATCCCTTTCACTGGCTTCACTTTGAAACGATTATTGATTGGAAAAACACTCGCGCTTCGACTACGAACTTTCTTTTTCAACACTTTCAACCTCTCGCACCGTGCGACAGGTGAAAGATCTATGGACAGATCTTACCACCTCTCTATATGTATTGTATTAGATACATACATACATATATATATATATATATATATAGATGTATGCTGTATATTTAGTGGTATATCGAATTGGGGTATATCTATTATCGGCGTATCGGTTCGCACGTCCACTCGCGAGCGTGCCAGAAATGAAAATGAATGTTTTGCCTCTACGATGGCAAACTCTCAGCCGCCAGTTGATGATCAGCCGTTCTTGAGGTGAAATTTTATAAATATAACCTGCAGAGCAACAGCAAATATTTCTGTGTCTTCTTCCCACTTTCACACAGATCATTTTGTTGTTGTATTTCAGCTTCACCCGACCCCAACGAACCTGTGTGGAAATCATCTGCATAGATAAATTCGCTGTTGTTTCAGATACGCCAGCGACCCATGCTCGTACAATAATTGTCTGTAAGAACTCATCTTTTTACAATGTCACGTAGAAAGTCCAAGAACATAAATATGGTTTATATGTATGTATAGGAATGCAGAGCTCATTACTTGCTATTGTTCTGGCTTATTCCGCAGTTTCTTTTTTGACGACCATCCCATGGAAATTTCTCTTTTCCTGTATCCAGCCACACAGAGTCAGAGCCCACGCACTCTCCTCAAGCATGAATCATTTTAGTAATTTTCATAAATATTTATAGAACTGAAAGGCATTTTATTGATACTTATACGGTAGGGGGGAGGGCTCTGTGAGAAAATTGATGTGCTAACAAATATATTTTGAGGCTTATAATGATGCCAAAATTGAATGCTAATTGGTAGAGGTAAAGGATAATAGGATATAAAAGGAAATTTATGAAAAGGAAAATATCAGCTTATTAGAGCGAAAAATAAGTAGTGCTTTTATATTCTATTTTCGATTGCATTCAATTGCCATTCCCCCTGCTATATATACATATAGACCGATATCTGGCAGCACACTCTTTCTAATTGGTCTGCACTTTCTGCTGCTGCTTTTCTTGCCAGACTGCCTGGTCTTTTGTCTGGTCATTCGCCTGTCCCCCGTGACAGTCCTCTGTCAATCAAACATGATGAATCGAGTATGTTGTTCAAAGATTTTCCGCCAACAGCCAGGAATAACATTGCAATTTATGAGTGGACCAGGCAGGCGAAAGATGTCAACAACTGAAGCTGCTGATGGACTCTAGGTCATCCAATATCAACAGCATCAGCCTCGCAGCCTCACAGCATTCCCGTTTCTATTTCCATCTTTCCCATTCCCATCCTCAGCCACAATTCACAGCTTTCAGCGGTCTCTTTGTGCACAGTTGGAGGCTCTTATTGGAATTGAAATTGCATTTTGGATGGAATGCATCGAATGAGTGCAACAAAGCACTCCTTTAACCGCCTGCCACGCGCGACAATTGTCCCAAATTCAACGAGGGCAGGCACCATTAGGAGATTGCTCGAATTGCAAATTTGAGAGGGAATCATTAGCCCGAAGCACGATTAATTACAATTGATGGATGGCCAATTGACAGATGGCATAACGAGCAAGCAGGCTCAAGGACCTCTTATTGATGGACATGTATGGAAACAGTGGCGGAGCCCAGAGCCAGATACACCGCCCGACTTGGAGAGGCCTTACTAGAAGGAGACACTCGGCATTGTCAGCCACGCCTGGCCTAATTGCCCCAAGAAGCTTAAAGGAGAGCCAGCAGAGGCATAGAGAGAGAGAGAGAGAGAGAGTCGAAGGCGAATACACGCAGATGGCCAATACAAGTTTTGGGCAACGTGGTAAAGTGCCAATAATAACGAATTAGCAAACAATTTCAAGTATTAGACAGCCACAACTAACTAAGAGGGTGGCCACAAAAGTAGCACGTGGACGCGCAGTGAGCGATGCGAACTTTAAGTTGGAAATCTTAAAGAATCCTTGTTCCACTGATAGCTCATTAAATGATCAACAATACAATTATATTTGTACAACTTATTCAGTTTAATTTGCAGAAGAGTGTCTCGGTAAATGTTCTTAAATGAATATGTATTATATTATATACAGATTTGTATTGTTCTCAAATAAGGAGCCTTATCTATGCTCTGCCAGGTATTTCCTTTTGGGTTTTTGGGAACTCCTTGAGAACATCTCTCTAAAGGCAGGACCACCCTTGGGGGGCAAGACAAACTATTGCCCGTCTGACAAATGGCGTTAAGCACATAATAACCAATTTCTCTAAATACGGCCATAATTATGAACGTCTTTACACACACACACACACACACACACAGACCCACACTCACACCCCCCCAAAAGACAGTTCCTCGTAAGTGTTTTCCTTGTTCTTGTTCTTGTTGTTGGCTACTTCATTTGGGCGCGTTTGTTCTCGCGAACTCAGTCGGCCTTCAGAGAGGCAGAGTGGCAGGGTGTGAAAGGGGGGAGCAGAAAGTTAGAGCGTTAAAGTGAAAGCAAGAGCGCGGTTCTGGGGCAAGGATTTATCGTAATTAGGCATGCATGAGCATATGCTGTCGTCTAAGCTCAAGGATGACTCTTCGTCTGCCTCCTCTCCGTTTCCTATGCAAACACAGACGGAGGCAAACACTGGCGAAAGAACGAAAGGGATCTAGGGGAAAGTGCGGTAGGCGGTTGGCAGAAGGGAACACATACCATACACCCCAATGTACATAATTAATTGTGCTGCTGTGTTGGCAAACACGCGGGCGCCTCAAAGTAGGCAACACGCTTTTTTGGGCAAAACGTACCGCCATAATTGATTGCCTCCTCATGCACGTCACAGCCAAAGCCAAAGCTAAAGCAATGTGTCGCTGTATGTGTAATCGTATCAGTCAGTGTGTGTGTGTCATACAGAGCTACAAGTATTTTTAAATGAATATATCTCTAATTAGTTCGCTGCTGCTGCTGCTGCCGTTTCTGCGGCTCAAAAGGGATCTTGCCTGCCGAAATGAGAAAAGGCCAGGCCACAAAAGACTTGACCGCAAATAATAATGCACAAATGCTGCCAGACCGCAAGTGTTTCCCAGCAACACACACACACACACACAAGCACAGACATACACGTAGAACATTTTCTCAAATTTACATTAGCAACATTTGGAGCCGCCATTAAGACAGTCGCCTGGCAGCCATTTGCCAGAATCCCCTTTGGGCGATTCACTGCGAACTTCGTTCAATGACCAGGCACAAACAATGTCCTGGTCCCTCCTTTAAATGATGGCCGGGAAGAGCCAAGGACAGTCCTAAGCAAACTAACTCCGACCTTAACTTGGGGACGGGCTACTTTCAGCAGTCACTTTTATTACCTGGCGCCAGTCAAATTAGCAAGAGTATAAAAATTACGCATACGCAGCCGGGCCTTTTGGGACGGGGCCGTCGCACGTGTTCATAACCCGTTGTCGCTTATGAAACAAAACGTCAAATGTTTCTGTAATGGCGGACATTAACATTTAACCTTGAAGCACAAATTACCGGATTCTTGTCACCTCCGTACGCACAAAACAGAGCAGAACAGAACAGAAAACACAACGCATGGAATGAGGAGGCGAAAATGTAGGAAAAGTTTGTTTTCCACAACTTTCTACCTCAGCAGGCAGTCGTCGGTTGGGGCTGCTGGCAGACGGACCCATAAAAAATCCTGTGGAGAGGCATCAACTGCTGTGAAACATGTGCGCCATCCCGGAGGCGTTCGCACCGCTCCACTTCTGTTATGATAAGAGTGTGGCAACAGTGGAGCAGCAGCGTGGCATACTGGCATTCTGGCATCCTGGCGTAGTGGCATCCTGGCAGCACCGCAGCATGACGTCGTTGTCCTTGTCGTCGTCGTCGACGCCTTGTGATAAATAGCTTGATTTTAAGCGAAAGGCGCGGGAGTAGATTTATGACACACGCATTTTCTGGGACTCACCATCCAGCATACACGTATTCCTGCTCCGCATGAAAGTGAAAAGTCGACTCTGCATCAGGAAAAGAAAACACGAAACATCGAATGTCATGCAACAGGCTGTAAGGAACAGAATGATATCAAATAATATTCAATTTATTCAAATGAAAAATAAAACCAACAATTAAATAATGTTTCATATTCATGTCGTTACTACTTTCCTATTCATAATTAATATGTTTAATTATAAATTTTAAATTTAATTTATAAAATAAATCACATTTCAATTTCACCATCATTACCATTCATACATATCGTTCCATTAAAAACTTTTACACTTTGTATGGTAATTAAAAAAAAATATTTAAATGTCCGATTGAGGCCTTTCAAAGTTTTCAATGCAATTTTCATATGCCAATTTCAATACGAAATTTAATTATAATTAATTTATTCAATACCTCTTCCGAATGGCACTGTTTAAATTACTTTAAACTATAAATTCCTCTAGCACGTTTTATTACTACAGCAATTTGATGGCCTTGATTGACCGGCAATCCTCCATAGATGCAGCATTTATTTCTACTCGTAGATGCCATTACCATTTTATGGCCTTTTAACATTTCAGACCAGTTACCGAAAAACTCTCAGCACATAAATATATCTTGGATGTGTGTGAATACTTAAAAAAGTTGGCAATGAGATTTAAAACTTGACAATTGTGCTGTGCGTAAATTGCGCCATTGCTCTGGGGCTGAGTAAAGTTTTGATTGAACATTTACAGAGACCGCGCGTACCGGTTGGGTATCGGGTTAGCGTCAGGCTTCATTCTCGTCCCTCAATGCGATGGCATTCATGCCAGCATTTTCCCCCACAGCAACCGCAGCTACAGCTGAAGAGCTGAAGGGGTGTGCTGCTAAGCTGCTTACGCCTTGCCGTGATGAAGAAGCAACCTCAACAATTTCAACATCCGGCTTCCGTTGCAATGTAATGGAAACTCAAGGCAACAAAGAGCCTTGCCGCCATGCTGTGCCAACATATTAAAGTTGGCAAATGCCGAAAGCAGCAGCAGAAACAGTGAAACAGAACCGGAATCTCAAAGAGGAAGGATGGTAGAATCCAAAGAAGCTGAAGCTTGAGAACTGGCAAAGTGTCGGGTGCGGAAATCTAAGGCAGGAATAAAAACGAAAGTGACACATTGTGCAGCTGGATATCGAAAGGGATAAGGTATACGACGCTCAGTGAAGGATGAATGGATTGTCCGGGATTTCTGGGTAGAAGGCAGTGGTGGGGCGACAGGTGGCCAGGAGCACATGGAAGGGCTCTGGTCACCCACATAAATCAGGGCTTGGCGCAGGCAGGCTCAAACCATTTGGGTTAAATGCGTTCTCATAACTCCCGGCACCGCATATTATTTAGCGGTATCCAAAGAGGATGCGTCCCTTGATTAATTGCTCACTGCGGCGAATGTGGAAATTATTTTAATTTTCCAACGACTTGCGCATAATTTGAGATAAGCCCGAAACGAATCCAAGCTGGAACTCTCAACATTTATGCGAGATAATTCGACTGGGGGGGTTCGTGTGGAAGGAAGGGCGTTGGGCGCTAGGCGCTATGCCAATATATGAATATTTTATGCGGACCGCGAATCATTTTCATGAAAATCACATAAAGGCCAAGGATGATGGGCGCCAGCGAAGGTAACGGTGCGTATATTTGATATCTGAAACGTTTAATTCAAGTCGGCGGCGTAATTTTCAACTCAAACTTAAATTGCGGCAAGAAAACTATTCCTCCTTCTCCACCCATTTCATTTAGCCACAACTTGCCAATTGCCTTGCTTTCCTCGCTCTGACCCACACCCCGCTCTGACGCAACGTCTTAAAATGCAATGCAAACCGAGGGAAAAAGTTTTAAAACGTTTCTCTTTTTCCTTTTCTTGGGCTGCTGCAACTTACGAATACGTTAGCCGGGTGTCTGTCAAGTGGCTCAGAAAATGGAGGAGCAATGAAGAAGTGGAACTGTGCTCGGGATGGGAATAGCGACTGGCAATGGGAATGGGATTGGGATTGGGATTGTGCTTGGAAAAGGCAAGCCGAGTCAAGTCAGCAAGTCAAATAAAAAGTTTTTCGTCAACATTACGCAAATTAGTTTGTCAGCCGAGCAGAGCAAATGCAGCCGACAAAACCCTAATGACATTTAGACTAAAGGATAACTTTTCAAGGAAGGGATAAGTCGAAAGCCGAGGCCCGAAGCCACCCAGCTTACACAGTGAGCGATGATGGAGTCGCTCTCATCTATCGTCCCATCTGCAGCCGCCGTCTGCAGTGCGGTGGTCTCCATTAATGTCTGAAGTTTCCCCGTGCCCGTGCCATCAGCTCCTGAAGCCTAATCCTGATTCTGAGAGCCACGAAATGTCGAACATTACGTTTCCTTCGCTTCATTCGATATGCATTAATGCTCCTTTGTACCGACGAAATCATAAAATCAAATATGCATTGAATTACCGTGTACGGCAGGACAATTATATTATACCTTCTGCCACAAGAAGCAGAAACCAAACAGAAAAAAAAACCCGAAAAAAAAACAAAAAAAAAAAAGGAATATTTAACTCAATTTGCTGGCCGTAAATTTGGTACCACAAGCAGCTGTAGCACCTGCCCTTCCCTCAATGCTGCACGGTCCAACCTCTGCCGCAACCAAACCCTAAATCGGCCGCATTTTTCACTCAACATTTTGCTGCCATCATTTTACACACCCTACACAGAGGGTATGGTATGTTTTCCCAGAAGCTTCACAGCATTTCTGTTCCCTCAATCTATATATGTGCATGATTTGCAGAGCTCAGTTGCATCTATGCCCTGCAGGTATCGACATAATTATTAATATCATTGAAGAGATTTTAATCGTTAGTTGTTAGGCCTTTAGCTTTGCAAACTTTGTATTTAATAACTTGCGTAAGTATATTATAGATACAGCTTTTAACAGCATTAAATTATAATCATAGTACATAATTATTGCAGCTTAGCAAATTTTAAATTATTCTCAGATTTCAGGGAATTATAAACGAAAATTAAATGCATTTAATTGTATGCTGATGCTCTGTCCATGATTCATTCACTTAATTTTCTTCTCTTTGCAAATAAACTAAAAACTTCACTTGCTTCAGTTCATTTTGCTATAATTGTTTATAATTGTTCGTAAAATTACAATAATTTGTTCTTCTTTTTTTAGCTGTGTTCCAAGCTTCTATGGGTTCGTTTACAATGTTTTGCTTCAAATATAAGTACAATGTCTTCTGTAAGTAATCCCTTCACATTTCATTAGGATTGGATTAAGCTAAGTGGGTGTCAGTACAAAAAGGGTATTTGAACATTGGACCACCGATTGGCATTGCTGCTTATTTTTATTTTTTTCAAATTTTTTTATTTCTGCTCTCGTTTATGCGCAAAAGTGCGTGTAATTCAATTTTTCATGCGCTGCCAACCAGCCGGTACCCGCACTTGACGCCGTGTGACAAGGGATGGAGCCGGAATGGGGTGGGGCGTAGTGTGGCAGGGCTACCTTTTTATTCTCGAAAAATTAAGACAAAGGACCGTGTTCCATTTGGAAAAGCACAAAATATGCGTTTATAGGCATATTTGGCACACCGTTTTCGACGGGGCCGTCCTTTTTTATTGATGGGCAATCCGTTTTATCAGTTATCCAATACCGTCATCGTTACAGTTGCCATTCGGAAGGACGTTATCAATTTTTGATGCCATTCGAACCCTTTGTGCGCGCATTAATGATTAGGAGTTCGTTGGGCTCATTGTGTGCTGGGTTATTGTGAATAATGTAAGTATGTGTTGTATGAAAGAATCCAAAGAGATTATGAAATGTAATTATATCTTAAGAGAACGGGATTGTCCCGTCCGAACCTAGAGTGGGGGACCACCATAAGTGTTAAAAGCGTGGTCCAGGTTGAGGCCATTTCTGCGCCGGCGTCTATGAGGACCCGTTGAATTACGAGTGGCAGCCAAAGCCCTACGAGCTTCAATGTGAGCCCGAACTGCCATCAAGGCTGAGTTTGCTCCCGATGCCGACGGTCCTGTAGAAGGGACAATCGGATCCCCGGTGTTCATTAAGAATCTGCGCTGCATCCGTATACGCTGACGATTAACAACGCCCAAATCCATCATGCTCCTTGCGATGGCCTCCTGCAAAGCTGGATCCACATACGAACTTCCTTGACGAGCCTGTTCCTGCTGTTGCTGCTGCATCTGTGGCGGCGGCTGCTGCTGTGGTGGCGCCTGCTGCTGTTGCGGCGGCTGTTGTTCTGGAACCCCGGCATATCCTGCAGTCACAGCTTCCGCAAGGCCCCTCAGCCCGGTAGTGTATGGGCTGCTCATAATCAACTCGTCTATAGCGCAGGTATCCTCCACCTCGAGCTCCATGTCCGCGTCGAAGCTGATGCAATCATCGTTATCCATGCGACTGGCAAACTGCACAAAGTTGTGCAGCTCTGCATTTGCCTGCTGCTTTTTCAGAGCCTCCGCCGATGTGCACGGCATATCTACATCGTCATCAAACACATTGAGCACAGCGCGGTACTGAACGTTCAACTCGTAGGCGATCGGATCGTCGTACGGCGAGCGCGAAAAGTTGATCAGCTCGTGGATAAAGTGATTTGTCTTTTCCCCGAAAAAGCTAAACAGCGTGTTCTGGAACTCGACGCTGCGCATATTGACATGCGACAGCATATCTTGCACCGTCTCGTAAGCTTTGACCATCTCCTCCTCGGAGCTGCGTACGAGCACCGAGGCATCGCGGTTCACCCAGTCCATGATGCGATGAATCGCACATGGATCGTTTCTGTTGGACAAACGTAAACACAAAAGTGTTGATCAAGAAGGGCTTTCCATTAGTCGCCAGGGCTGGCACTTACCTGAGCGCCTGCGGGCTCCACTCGCGGAAGCTGCGCTTCTCCCTTGGTGGCAGCGAGTACAAAGAATTGGCATAGACGTAGATGCGCCACGAGATCACTTGACGCGTAGACATATTCGTGGCAAATAGCTGCTCTCTACTGAACCAAACTGCACAGAGTCTCGTCTCAATTCGAACAAAAAAAAAAATCACAATTTTTGTTTCCGCAGCTGCAGGTGTGCGCTTCCAATGTCCCGCTTAGGTTCCCCAAGCCGCTGAATCACAGAGGGGTTCGGTTTATTTATTTATCTAGCGCAGAACAATACACATAAACAATTTACTTCGATCTTAGCACAGAACAAATTTTGCAAGCGTCTGATTTTTTTTCTTTGACAAAAAAGGAAAGGTGGCATTAAAAAAGCAGCGCGCTGTTTGTATTCCCTTAGGTGTGTACACACTGAAAATACCACTTAATTTAAAAAAATCCTCAAACAAAATAAAATGCAAAGAAGTTTAGTTTAACTTTGTACTATATCTACTAGAAGCTAGTAGCGATCGCAGACAGTTCCGATTATAGTGCAGGAGCTGGTTGCCCGCTGATGTGTACACACTGAAAATACCAAATACCACATTTGAAGAGAACAGTGTACACCCATTTTTTCCATGGAGATAACAGACATACATTTCCACATTATTGATATATTTGTGATCCAATCGGGACGGGACAAATTCATTAAAGACCGACAGACTGAGAATATTTACACTTTATAACCTTGTAAACATCTGAATACGATTTAGAATAATCGTTCAACTTAGTTGTCTTCGGAGAAACAGCCTATTGACAAGCCATGTGAGTAATTTGACCATTTCCATCGTAACGCAAAATCTTGACTGCCATTGTGGGAAAATTAAACAAAGTAAAGCCATCATTTCTATTTTGTTTTTTACAATAAATCTTTACATTTATTATTTGATTTTGTATTATAATTAATGTTTGTTCTTTTCTGTTTTGAGTACTAAATTTCATAATTGGCCACGCCATTAGGCGGCCAGTATCCAAAAACATTTAACACTCTCTCCATATAATAATCTGTGTGCCAAAGCGGCGTTAGTTCTATGGTTCAAGCTATGAACATTAATTATTGTATATAGGTATTTTTAGATCCGCTTAAATAAATAAATGTACAACATGTGTGGGAAAGGGATGGGGGGGGATGGGTTGGGTAGGGATGGGTAGGGATCACATATCGGGTGGTTGGATAGCTCTCAATGCTTCAAAGGATCCGTTTTGGGAACTGGATACATTAGTGATGTGGGATAACATTTTTTTTTAATAATGTTTCTTATAGGTAGGAGTAAAAACATATATGTAAAATATATTAAGAGGGGCCTGAATATTTACAACTTAACATGGCAACCTTAGGCCTAGGATTAAACTATTTACTTACATTACAAGTTAAATAATAATATATTATTATATGGGGGACAAGGGCAACATATTTAAGAATTCAGAATAGGAGAAGACCATACATAATCTTTTAAATACACATTTCGAACAGCATTTTTAGTGTAATAAACGATTGAAGCTTATGCTAGCTGGCTAATCTTCATCATTATCATTATCATCGTCGTCGTCGTCGTCATTTTCATTCTCGTTGTCATCATCTTCATCGTCGTCCTCATCTTCATTTTCATCATCGTCATCTTCATCCTCGTCTTCCTCCTGATCTTCGGTGGCTGTGGCAGTGTCGTCTGCAGTCTCTGCATCCGCATCTGCTTCCACCAAAGGTTCACCAACCACATCGATGGTCGACTCCATCCGATATTGACTCTGTTCGTTGCTGACTTCTGCATCCACGTCCGAGTACAATCCCAGACGCACATCGTCCTCAAGGCTATTGGCAGTGTTAGGCAGTGCATGGCGTAGAAAGCTAATCGCTTCCTCGACTCCACTTGACTGATCATTGAACAAGCCTCCACTGACGCCACCGTCCACGTCCACGTCTACGTCTGCCCCGTCACCAGCGTCGTTTCTTTCATGCGTCAGTGTGGACAGTTCAATCAGTGAGTGGGCAATGTCATGCACATCGGTGGTGCCACTGCCACGCACCAGAGGATCAATCGCATAGCTCGTTGCCCGCCAGTTGAATGAGCTCAGTGCCGAGCTGGAGGTGGCTGTTGTGCTGCTCGCTACGCTGGCACTGTGGCTGGACAGATTACTATTGCTGCAGCTGCGACGACGCTTCGGCGCACTGCACTCTGGCTGCGTTTCCTCCGCCTGCTGCTCCCCCAGTGGTGCCTGAGACAGCTGTGCCTGCTCTCGCTCCTGCTCATCCGGCATATGCAGCTCCAGCTTGAGCGGCTTTCGATCCTCCAACACCGCCTCCGAGCGCAAAACGGCGCGCAATGCGCTAAGCTGAAGATTTAGTTCAGGGCTACCATCGTCCGAGTCGTCACTGCTACTCTTTTTTTTGGGCTCTGCAAAAGGTTTTTGAATGTATATGAGAGACGTAAAGAGTATTACAATTTGGTCAACATACCACTCGCTTCACTACTGTCGCCTCCCGACTCATCATCGCTTGAACTACCATCGGAACTGCTTTCAGCCTCAGGCTCAGGCTCAGCCTCCGGCGGCTTCTTCTCTTTCTCATCATCTTCCTCCTTGGGGGGACTTTGCTCTGGCGCCTGCTCCACCTGTCGCCTGCTGCGCTTTCGTGTTGATCTCTTGAGCTTCTGGGGAGCCGGACGCTTGCGTGCCAACGCTTTGCGATGTTTTCTTTTGGCGGAAGCCCAAAGTTGTTCGCTATTGCTTTCACTGCTGTCGTCGCTGCTCGAGCTCCATTGGAAAGGTGTGGCACTGCTGCTACTGCTGCTGCTGCTGCTGCTGCTCGAACTGCTGCTTTGGCTAACTGGGGGAATGAGGCGAGGATGGCTGGTGCGTTTCGATCGTGTGGAGCCAGCGATGCGTAACAGATCCTGACGACGTGTGTAGTCGTAGCACTGCTTCCAGTTCTTGCCTCTGCTGGCGGCAGCGCTTGTACTGGGACCCATGTATAGGCCATGATTGGCCGTTTGAGCCGCGTTCTGTTCCGCATCATTCACGGCGTCTGTTGTGGCTGATGGCCGATGGGTGGCCGTCGGACTCTCGTTCTCTTCATTCACAAAGACAACGTCCGAGTCGCTGTTGGAGTCGAGGGTCACCTGCTCGGGTGTCCGCAAATGCGGCGGCTTCAGCTCCAGCACAAAGACACACTCATCATCCCCGCTGGAGCTGCTGCTGCTCTCCAGCTCAATGTGGGCACTAATCGGTATGCTGGCGCCGGCCTGTCGCCTGTTTGAGTTGCTGCCATCGTTGATGGCGGCCACCTCAGCATTGGCAGCAGCATCGCCGTCATCGATCTCGATCACTTCCGTCTCGTTGGCCGGACGCCGCATGCTCAAGTTGATGGCCACCGTCTGGGAGCCGACGGTTGAGGTCGCACGTCGTATTGAGATCCCTGGGAGCTCGCTGCCATCGCTGTCCATTGTCACGCTGAAGGAATGTGTGGCACCGGGATTGGTCACAATCACACTGGTGGACGGACGATCGTTGGCTGCATTCCAGTCGTTGGAGGACTCTGCGTTGGCCGTCTCCCCATCGCCGACCTCCAAATGTAAGTCGCTCTCGTTGGACGACTGCGTTTCGACCATGTCCAGCAGATCCACTTCCACCTCCTCCGCCACACGGGCCGAGTACTGGACCACATGGTCGTAGCCAATCATGTCGAATGGGGAGCGGGCGAAGTTGAACAGCTCGTGGATGAAGTGACTGGTCCGCTCGCCCAAGAACGGCGACAAGCGGCGCCGGAATGTGGGTCCCAGTATGTTCGTCATGGGCAGAATGTCGTGCATCAGCTGCATCACGGTGCTGACACTGTGCGCGGCATTCCTCAGCAGGCACACAATGTCGCGGTGTATCCACGGCATCAGGCGATGCATCTGGGCAGGATTGTTTCTACAAGGGTAAATTACGGTTCACTAGTTGAACGACTGAACCAGACTGCCACGGGTCCCGGCTCCCGGCTCCCGGGTCTGTTCTCACCTGTAGAAACGAGCACTCCACTCGCGGAAGTGGCCGGTGAGGCTATCACTGACTGGCAGGGCATACAGCTTGCGATCGTAGACATAGCGCCGCCAGAGTTGGCTCAGCGAACTGCCCGAGATGGCGGGATCCTGGTCGTTTCGATAGAAGTTCATCAACTCCATGCGGTACGGCTCAAAGCGATTGTATGAGTGGCGACCACCCGATGATTCAGCTGTGGGCAGGCCATCCTGTGAACCATCACCAGCCGCAGCGCCGTCCAGGTCGTTCGTCATCGACGACTGGTTCTGCACGAGCGGCATGAACCTGGGACGTCGCACAATTTGGAAACGCAGCGCTGGATGGTGATCTGGTATGGGCGGTGATGAGTTCTGAACCGGATAGCTGTCAAAGTCATCCAGTGTACGCACATTGTGGATGATTGTCTTGAAGGGCTGCTTGCACAGCGGACACTCGGCTTTAACCTGTCAACGAATACGGTTAGCAAATTTCGTCCGGTACCAATACTCTCCGAGACTCACCTTGCTCCACTCGCAGAGACACTTGAAGCAGAACTGATGCATGCACGAGTCGGTGAAGCATTTTCGCTTGCAGCGCGACAGGCAGATGGCACAGTTGGGCGGCGGCGAGGTCCGTCCACTGCCCGATGCACTGGTGCCCGGCTCCCCATTGCCGTTGCTGTTGGCGTTGGCGCTGCCATCGCCATCGCCTTCACCGTCGCCACTTTCGCTGCCACTCTCCGTGAGGTCGGCGAATTTCATGGCTGCCGGTGGAAGGGTTAGTGTTCTGCCGGTGCCATTGGCAGTGAGGGGTAATCCGCCCGGCAGGCCTGTGACAGGCTCAACAATAACAGAAGCACCGACATCATCCGCATACGAGGCGGCTGCTGCTGCTGGCAGCTCCTCTACCACCTCCGCCATGTTGCGCGTTCAATTGAAATTTGTTATCTGTTGAGGTGGTGACTTGTTCCAAATGACGGGCGGAAGGTGAGGGCGAGCCCCAAGTCACAATTTACTTCGGAATGGGCTCGGGCCCCGCACTAAAATGCGAGTTTTTGTGTCTACTCTGCTCTCCGTGTTCGACACTTGCTATCTCGCTTGCACACAACCTATCATCTGGTTCATCGTTCACAATACAGAGTAAAAATTCACATGCGTCTTTTTTTGCATAGCTTTACCAGGACAGCGGCTACATTACAACATGCCCCGACTATCGCGTTTGGTAGCCAGAAGTCTGAAGGTGCTTTTTTCACTGGTCTTTGTTCTTTAAGTGCACTTAAACTTTAATATTTTAAATATTCAGTACCAAGGAAATTAATTTTGTTTGTCCGAATTTCCACAAAATGGAATTAGTTTTGCTACATGTCAACTACACAGCGAAGTATTTGTTAACAGAGCCACCTGGCGTCGAAACCGGTTCAGTGAAAAAACAAATTTAAACTGGTTCAATAAACCAGAGCGGCATAAAATTCACAGGTACTGATTTCCGAAATGTTAAAGGACCTCCAACATATTTGAGCATTTTTAATCAATTATTTATTAATTAAATAATTCATATTTTAGAGCTGGAGAAACATTGATGATTTCGACCTTAGAGATGTGAGACTACTATCGATGCTACTATCGATACCCTCGCATCGAATGGTGTTGCGACTATTTATTTGTTTGTTAATATTTTGGAATTTTAATACAACTTCAAAATTCAAAAAGATTGGGTGGTAAATATTTTGTTTAACTAAACGGGAATTACCATGAATTTCATTTACAAGCAGCAGTTCATAACAGTTCCGCGGTGTAACTCAAGGTGTTCAACTGTTTAAATAGAGCGGGCTTAAGTGGGTTAATGTTGTTTTTTTCTTCGGTATATTTCTGCAAGTCAGTCGGTATATTTGATCGCGGTCACACTGATTTTTTGTTGCTTGTTGATATTTTGGAATTTTGATTATATTTTTAATTTTATTTTAATAATCACAATGGCCAGACGAAACAAGCGCACCTCCTACGAGCAGTACCAGATTTACCTGGACATGATTGAGTCCAATCCAGTTTTGATCAGCGGCAGAACGACGCGCTACGACGACATAATCAAATGGAAAGAATTGAGCGATCAGCTAAACAAATCCAGAACCGGGCCGAGTCTGGAACCCGAGGAATGGCGAAAGGTAATCAGAGTTTCATGTTCGAGAAGCTGCGGCACAACTAACGCCCTTCCCGCCTTTTGCAGCGCCTTAACGATTGGAAGAACACGACACGGTGTAAATATAGGCGCATCATGATGTCCCCGGGAGCTAAGTTATCCCTCTCGCCGCTGGAGACCAGAGCCCTGAGCATTTTCGGTGAGATAGCGGACGTGGTGGTCCTCGACGACAGTTCCGAATACTTGGATGACCTCGATCAAGAGGAACTGGTCGAGAACTATGTGGACTCTGGCGAAGATGCCAGCCCGCCCCCAAAATCCATACGAATAAGCCACAGTTGCCCGCGCAAAGTTAAGCAGGCGCCGCCAGTGAAGTATAACGAACGTCCAGCCACCAAGATCATCAATGGACAACTTTCCGTGAAGCGGGTGCGTGTCCAAGTGCCCGAGCAGCTCTATGAGGGTGAGTTGCAGACACACAAACATACATATGCTCCTTGAACAAACTAATTCCATTCCCCATTTCATCCTGGATTTAGTCAAGAGTTCGCTGCAGCAAGAGACAAGCTCGTACGCCCAGGAGATTGAGAATCAGTTGCAACGAATCGCGGACATTCACAACGCCGGCCTGCAGTTCAAGATTGCAAGTTTCAAGTACAGTAATCCCGGATTTGAGTACGGTCAGCCAGAGTTATAGGGCCATGGAGCAAACTAATGACAATCAAATGCATATCGGTATTGTTTGTAACATGTTAGAGCATTATATAGTGGCCTGTTAAGTTAAGTTTAAAGAGATATATCTTCATTAAAAAATAAATAAACAAATAAGAAATACAACTATCGTATGCTGCATATATCGAATGAATGGCTTTCCGCCAGATGTCGCTGTGAGTGCAACCCTGTGCATAGCCAGCCAATTAGCACTGAAAAATCCCAAACGCGTTAAAATTGTTTGTGGACACTTCGCATCTTTGTGGCGTCGGATTTTTTTTATTTAAGATTTGGTCAAGAAATACAATATCCTAGGCGTGTGTTAACCGTTAATGGAAAGCAAAATGGACCGAAGAAAGAAGCGCACATCCTCTGAACAGTACCAGATGTACATAGACATGATGGAGGCCGATTCAATTTTCGCCACCGGACGGGTGCCGCGGGATTATGATCTTAACTATTTGACGAAAAAATGGAAGGAGCTTTCCGACAGGCTTAACAAATGCAGTTCGGGGCCCACACTCACGCCCGAGGAGTGGCGAAAGGTGAGCGGGGGCTATATGTTGTAGAGCCGAGCATCCCATTAACACTTTTCCCGCCTTTTGCAGCGCCTGAACGATTGGAAGAACACGACAAGGTGCAAGTACAGACGCAGCCTTATGGCCACGGAGAAGGACATATCGATGACGACGCTCGAGAACAGAGCCCTCGATCTGTTCGGCAAGGTGCCCACCGCCACGGGCGAGACGCTGCTGAATCTGAAGTCTGAGAAGGACGACGGCGATGATGACTTGGAGGATATCGGACAGCGCACATCGGCCGCGTTCCAAAAGGAGCTGCAAGCTGCCGTCGAGGAGGCCATCAACGATGAAGTCGATGACGATGAGATGCTCGAAGAACACGTCGAACAGGAAGAAATTATCGATGACAATATGGCCGACAACGGCGGCGTCATTGAGGGCTCGAATGCTGCCACAACCGCTGTAAATACGGGTGGTGGTACTTACCGCACCATTGTCGTGGACAACACATCCTTCGAGCACGTGGAAGAGCCGCATCCCGTTGAGTTTGTGGCCGCCCGTCGTACGCCTGCTTCCAGCAATTCCAGCGTCCATGCAGTCATCAATTCCGGCGCTGTCGTTGAAACCAAGCTAATCAATGGCGAACTGCCCGTGAAGCGATTACGCACCCAGACCCGACCTGATCAGATCATCTACCACGGTAACTAAACATATTCTGTACTTTTTCCATCGAATGCAGAGATTTAATGAGCCGTTGTACCCGTTCCGTTTTCAGTCAAGAATGCGCCGCGATGCATTTCAAACATACAGGACGTGCCGCCACTTCTCAGTACAAAGGTGGAGCGAGATACCATACCGTTGAGCGCCGCCCTAAGTAGCCAGGATGGCCAGCAGATAGCCCATCAGCTGAAGCGTTTGGCCGACATCAACTACGAAACACTGCAGTTCGAGATCGCGCGCTTTAAGTTCAATAATCCTGGTTTCCAATACAATCCGCCGTCCTTATAGTCCTTCAGGCAGAAGGCGACAGTGACGGCTCAGGAATCCACAAAGCCGCATCAGTAGCAAGCGAAACGGCAGCTGCAACAGTCTCATACGCGTAGAGTGGAGTCCACTCGAATGGCGTTGATATCTCTCTCCCAGTCTGCTCTGCTAATCGGCGAGAGAAAATCATAACTTATAGTAGCCACTTTAGATTAAAGTTTATATAGAGATATCTATTGCAAATATACAATATCATATTTCTCTTTTATATAAATTCAAAACCCCCATAAGTGTGGCATGCCTGGTACGAGGCGTGCAATAACTTAATTGGACAAAGTAATTTTAAACGTGTTGTATGTAAATGTAAAGAATAAAGTTTACCAATGATAAATACGCAATGGAATTTGTAAGTATTCGCCAGCCGCCGCCCACGGGGTCGCTTGTTTTGGGAGCAGGGCAGGTCCCGGACCCGGACTCGGCCTGATGTTGATCTGCAGATGCCTCTGCCGATGCATTTTTTATTTTTTGGTTTATTTATGACTCTGATGGCGAAGCTTGCGTTGCTATCCAATCGATGCTAACACGAAAAGTCCATTAATCATTTTTAGAGTCTCAAAATGGATGGCGTCGACAATGCAACGCAACTCAGCGAAACGCATCGCATCGCATCGCTTGCATTGTGTTGCTCTTCTAGGGGGCTTGGGTTTTGGGTCATTTTAACCTGACCGCGAACTTGTGGGCGCACTTTGTAACTGTCAGGGCCTTGGGGGCAGTGGAGAGATGCGAAAGAAATCACTTTTAACTGTTATATTGCTGATGCAACAAGTGCCGATCCGATCCGATCCCAAAGCCAGCCTCAGCCTGCCTTCTCTTGGTATAACTGCAATGGGCAATAGATCATTTGCACGCCGTGCGCTGCGAATCATAAATTACTGGGAGACCTCTACCCAGGTTCCAGGTTGCAGGTCCCAATGCTCTTATAGTACTTGCAACAGTCGACGACGCATGACGTTCCGTTAGGAATCATTGCCATCTCTTGGTCGCTGGCATTTCGGGTCGATGATAACTGCCAAACACGTCGTATGCTTAATCTGTTCTGCTTTCTGCACCTCTGTCTCCCCGTCTCCCCAGGTACCAGCCCCAGCCCCAGCCCCAGACAGCATGCAGCGTGTGGGTGCCGCTCGCTCTTTGATGAAAAGGCTGCCAGCAAAGCTGATTAACGTACCATCACACAGGCAGACACACTCGGTCCCATCCCGCGGAGATATCCGTCTTTCTGTCTGTCTGTCTGTATGTCTGGACCCACAGATGTCTTCTTCTCACATGGCAATGAAACCGATGCGGCTGGAACTGAAGCTGGGGCCTGCATCTGAACCTGAGACCTGGAATCTGGCTGTGGCCATGGCAGGGCGCAGAGTGTGCATGCCAAGTCCATTAAATAGTTCGTGTTGCACTCGTTTCGCGGAGCCCAACTATGGGTCCATTGGATATGGCTATGGCTATGGGTATGGGTATGGCACACATGACAGCGTGCAGAATTGACCCCATAGGCGGGTGCTATAAAAACCCAGAAATAACAACGAAAAAAATGACTCGAAACGAAGGCATGCTACGGAGTCTCGAGACTACAAATACCCTGCATTTAAGACAGGGCTTTTAGGTCTACATTATAAAAGATAGTAATAGATTTTGGAATATTTGTAGGGTATTAGAGTACTCTTACAAAAAAAAAAAGGAAACTGTGGCTAATATTCTGTGGATTTCTAGATATACAGACAGGCTCCGGTTTTCACTGTGTTTATCGATATGGCTGAGCATTATCATACTCCTAAAAGGATCAAAAGTATGTAAGAAACGAGAGAGTCAACAAGAAAACCCATCAGTGCCCTGTCCTCAGGTATTATACACACATATACTGTATGAATCAATGCCCTAACCCGCATCCATTTCAAGTACATAATCGTAGTATACCAGAAGCTTTCTATCACTTTCAGTTGTGTTTCAAGTAAACCTGCTTGACACACGGCAGCTGCCTTTCGCAATTTGTGATCTGGAACTTGTAAACTAAACAAATCAAGAGCCATGAATCGAATTCATATTGAAATGCGCTCTCCGGGCAAACCTCTAACCGATTTCTACTGTTTCAAAAAGGCGCCGCTGCTTAAGTTGAAGAAAGCTTATGCTGAAATCCATATGCTGAGCCTAAGCCGCCTCATTTTTCGCCTTGAGGGTGTGCTGGTCGAGGACCATGCCACAGCGAGCAGCTTGTCGCTACGCAACTATGCCGTCATAGATGTCACCATACTGAAAGAAGACATCATACGAGGCACCATTTCTGATCTCTGTAGGCTGAACTAAAATTACTTATTTTTTTATTTATTTATTTTGTGTGTACTGTGATTGTATTAAAGTTCAGCTTAGAAACTAGAGACTCGCCATGTGACCAGGGTCAAGGCGGCACACATGTGTTGGTATCTGGGAACTGGTAACTGGTAACCTTCCTCCACGGCTACCTACCTCCCTCCTCGGTACGGTTTGGTTCGGTTCGGTTCGTTGGGGCGCAAAAGTGCAAAGCGTTTTTATGCTGGCGATTATTACGCTTGATCCTGAAGCACCAAAGGGTCAATTGATGTTTGTGATGACGCTGAATTGAGCTGATGTTGCACGCTGTCTGCTGTCCGCTGCCAGCAACGACAGCAACATGCAGCAACATGCAGCAGACATTGTGCTTTGTTGCCCGCAATTTGCTTTGGAATTTTAAGCAGCACCGCCATCGTCATCCTCGTCATAGATGAAAATTCCCTAGTCCGCTTTTCTCCATTTTTTTTCTCCAGCTCTTTTTTTTTTTTTTTTTCTTTGCTGCTGCTGCTGCTGCCGAAAATTGCATTTCTTTTGCTAGAGGCGATAAAGCTTCAGCTGTGGTCAAGCCATTTGATATATCACTGACGCGGAGGCAGAGCCCTGTACCCCATTTGTGCAACACGGAACAGAGCCCCCCCCGCCTCCCCAACTCTGTGGCTTGGCTAATCAAGGTTGGAGCTCTAGGGCTTCCATTGGCTATTGCTGTGCGGTTCTCAGGATGCTTTTGATATAGAAATTACTGCAACGTTTTGGGGCTCTGGCTGGGAAAGTGAACGATTGAATTGATTGCAGATGTTTAAAGATGTCAAAGAACTGTTCTTCCATTCCCCATGTCAAGTGTTGCCAATCAGAATCTCATTATTGAAGATAGTTCTGAATAAGATTTCGAATATTTTGGTTAACTTTTAACCTGACTGCAATCATTTCCACAGCGTGGAGCCATCAATTCCAGACTATGCTGAAAAAGTGACTCAACGAGTCCCCATAAAATTCTTTGAAATACCAAGAGATGTATGCCAGCCATGCCACAACAGAATCTTATTATAAAAAAGATAATATATCCCCAAAGCAGAAAATATACCATTTAGGTACACTTTTTGCTGTCAGCAGTCGTAAATCTAAACAGCTTTTGCTTAAAAGCTTAATTTCGATCAATTACCATTGCCCCCAACCTATCTCTCTCTGTCCCTCTCCCTCTGTCGCTGTCTCTGTCTGTGGTACCCCAGCAATCTCTTCCTCATATCATATTTGATGGGACCCGGCTTTGGAGCAGGCCATGTTGCTGCTGTCCAGCATGTAATTATATTAGCATGATCTATGCCATTATGCACATACACATCGATATAGTGCAATTAGTGCATCAGCAGGAGCACCAGGAGGGAGGGGGGGGTTGCAGCGTGTAGGAACAAGCTGAACTATCGGCTAAAACAATATGGCCAGCGGGCGTTTATGGCCAACGACAGGCTATTATTGACGCCACTCGACTGGACTCGAATGGACAATGTGGATGGACAGGCACAGTCACTGGCACTGGCACTGGTACTGGTACTGGCCATGGTCTAGGCCAAAACGGGACGCACTGGCCACTGGCCATCATCGGTTGCAGCTCGATGTGGTTGTGGCTGATGTTGCATGCAAATTGTGCTGCAGCGCGGCAAGTGGCTGATCGGGGGGCCGAGGCGAGTAGCTAAAGTACAGAAAATATTGAGCGTTGAAATGGCGCCCTCTTCAGCTAGCTGCAGTCATAAACACGCACTAATTGCAGCCATGATTTGTTGCACACTGCATTAATGGCGCTCGCAGGACCCGCAGTCGCAGCAGCAGCAGCAACAGCAACTCAAATCGAAGCCTAATTGCCTATAAATGGCTATTTTCGTTGCAGCAGCAACAAAATGTGGCGACATCAAACGTAAAGCTTTCAACATCAAACAGAACAACAGAACAGAACATTAGCGACATCAACAAAAAGCAACAAGCAGCCACATCCATGCCTCACATGAGTGCCTCACATGTGAGACATCGGGCCAACCGAAGAGGCATTAGCTCTTCTGATTTATAAACAAAATTTAGCAAAAATACACGAGTTGAGGGGCATTAAAAGTGATGTTGCTGTCGCTGTTCTCCAGCGATGTTGCTGCTGCTGCTGTTGTTCTCCTCCAATGTGGCTGATGTTCCTTCTGGCCATGCAATTAGGCGCGAGATGAATGTCTGACTCTGTCCAGGCGGGGTGGTCCTCTGTGTCGCCAGCGTGGCGATCGATGGATACATTGATATACAAATCGATTGCTTGATCTCTCACTTGCAGCAGCAAACCGGGGCAAAAAAAAAAAAAACAGCTCGCGTGGTCAGCGCCAATTACTTAGAGCATACTCGTATCAATTATATTACAGCAATGGATTGTAAAATAAATGGCCAGAATGATAGCCCGACTCTGGCTGCAGGAGCCCAGTCCCATGGGGTTTTTGATGCTCCACAGAAAGAAAATGTTTAAAACACAAAACTAAACAGTTGTAGATTCTACGCTTAATAGACTAAATTTAATTGATTAGGGATTAGGGAGAGATTAGGGATTTAGATGAACAATATCTGTATAATGTGATGGCCCTGTCTGAATTTGATTTTAGCTAAAATCGACATGAATTTTGTTCAGTGTAATCGTACTGCTGCTGCTGCTGGTTGTAATTGAACTGCGCGTATTGCAAAATTATTATTTTGTGCATTTGCGATTGGCAGTGCCTACTGGAACGCCACTCCACTCCACCACCACCACTCTGGCTCCTGCCCTACGAGCATACCAGGTACCGCCCTGCGCCTCTGTTCATATGTTTTCATTACTCTTTTTTTCCAAACCCCCCCCACCCCATTATGCGTGTACGTGACGCACAATTTGAAATTGCCAGAGCTTATAAGCCGGATACCGAGCGACCGAATGCACACAATTCCACCATTGACTTGCACCTCAGTGCTGCCTGCAGCTTTGGCTGCTCCTCCAGCTCCGTCTCCATCTCCTTTTGGTGGGGT